GCCAAGTTCAGTTACTCCATTAGATATATATTGACTCTATAGCCCAGATTCACTAATTTGTTGCCTATATGGCCCATATTGATAGCCTAGAAGTACTACTTATATTTCAGTTTAATGATTATTTAACAGGGGTGTGTGATTTGTCTCTTTGTTGAAAGATGGTTACTGCCTCAGTTTGGTGAGTAGATCGCTGGTCGTGGGGAGGACTACCCAATGAGACTCCACACAGCTCATATTCACCTCATTTGCATAGTGGCTCATTAACACCATTAATGTAAAAGGAAGCACATCGTCAAAGGCTTTTCTAGGTTTCTTTTCTTAGCTCAGATATAACGCTAAACGTTACAGAATAACAGATTGGCTGACAATTCCACTTTGCTCATATTATCTACCCTAGTTCTGCTGTTCCCATTTGGGTTAAAGAGTTTATAGACCTGCCAGAATCTTACAGATTGTTCCAGTGAAAAATTGACCCTCCTGGGAAATAGAAAAGAATGAGAGATTTATTTTAATTTACATACCATTCTTATAATTGGTTTGAGAATAAACATGTTTACTCTGCCAAATAATACATTTTAAGAATCCTTAGTGTCAGCTACAGCAAATATCTACAATCCCTACCTTTTCTTCCCCCTAAAGAAATCTACAATTTTAAATATTCTTAAACGTCTGAGGATGCTTGTTAAACAGAAGTTGGGAAGGTAATATTCAAGTTGCTAATTAGTTGTAAATGTATTATTTATGTATGCCTAAAAATATTATTTAAATAACCTCTATGTTAACAATGTTGTAGAATTAAATTTTAATTGAATATGGTCTCATTGTTCTTGAGATGTAGTGAAGTTTATTTTTTATATGTACATATTAAACTTTTTAAACATAGAAATACAGACATATATATCTGTCAAAGTTTATTTGCTTTAGAATATGGTCCATAATCAATCCCACTAGACTTGCACCAAAGAGTTATACATGCATGCACATGTGTGCCTTAATTTCTCCAGAAAGTACATATTGAAAATTATATTCAGACTTCCTTGGGTACTCTGCCAGATGTCAAAAATTCAAGAACATTTCTCAGATGTATTTACCAAGCAGTAGAAAATGTTATAGGTTTATACATATCAGCATACTTTCCTTCATCTTTCCCAATCCAGCTGTAATTTTGTAAGAATAGAATTGATCCTATATCTTATAAGCAATGAAGACAATACAGAATTTATTTAACCTCTTGAATAGAAAAATGATGGCGAAGTCCAATCCCTAAGGAAAAAATCAAAGTAAAGAAGAGAGAAACTGAGAAACCATTCTAAAATGAGCAAAGACCCACTAATTCTGAGAACTAAGGCTGAACTTTGGAAGATATAGTAATATTTTCTATTTTTATTATAGTGAAGGTTATAGAGATGTATGTATTTGTCAAAAATATAAATATGTACATATAAAATTGATAAATTTTGTTTTGTATAAGTTATTCTTCAAGTATGGCAATATTTTAAAGAAATGGTTATATTCTCTTTCTTTTTACAATGTTTTTATTGATTCAGGGAGGAAGGGAGAAGGAATGAGAGATAGAAATATCAATTATGAGAGAAAATGATTTATCAGCTGCTTCCTACACACTGCCTACTGGCAATTGAGATCTGATTGGGAATCGAATCTTGACCTTCTGGTTCATAGTTCGATGCTCAACCACTGAGCAACACCAGCCAGTCAAGAGTGGAAATTTTTTTAAAAGTTGCATTTAGCCATGTCTTTATGTATGTCACCTTAGAACTTAGCACAATGTCAGTGTGTTTTCAAACAATAAAATCTAATCACTTAAGTTTACTTGGTAATTACCTGTATATTCTCAAAATGAGAGTATAATAAATATTCTGTAGAATATTATAGAATATTACTTATATTTACATGATAGGCATTATAAATATTCTGGATATTTATAATACCTGAAATAAGAATGAGGTCAATATAAAGTTTGTTTTTGGAGTTAAATATGTTTATAAATATAAAGCAGTTGAATAGATTCTGACATATAGATTTGATATTCCAGGACAGCATGCACATTGCACAAAAATATTACATCTCCCAAAATGTTTTATGTCAACTGGTTCTATTTAAGTTACAGTGTGAGATGAAAAGCTCAGGAAATATTTTTGTGAGCTTCAAGAAACTTCTTATATATGACTAAGCATAGGTTCATATGTTTTACCTGATGGAATTTAAATGAGAATAGGACCTATGTGCATAAACGTGAAGACACCCACTATAAAAATATAAATACATTTTCCTTATTTATTTGGCTTTCATATTAATCTGTCTGGTCCTTCGTGCCCAGATCACATAATGATAAATGATCCGTGAATATGTTTAAAAATTCATGAATTATTTTTATGACATCAGAATAGGTCTATCAAAGATATTGCAACTCAGTACCAAGAAGAAGGCACATATATTGGGACAAAGTACACCTTTCCATGGTCTGTGTACAAATATAACAGGTGAGCTGTGTCTGTCATCTACATGTGCATGGCCTTGGACCTATATTTAAGCTCATATTTCTGTGTCACTGTCATAAATGTTTACAATTTGCTAGTTATTATGTTATATGGATTTTTATTTTATTGAATCACAACTTTTCAAATTAATTTGGCTCAATAAAAGACCGTATGATTTTTGCCCATTTTTTTGTTAAATATGTTTTTATTTATTTTAGAGACAGTGGAAGGAAGAGGAAGAGATAGAAACATTGTTGAGAGAAAAACATCAATATTGATTGGCTGCCTCCTGCATGCCCACTTCAGGTGATTGACCCTGCAACCCGGACATGTGCCCTGACTGGCAATAGACACAGTGACCTCTTGGTGCATGAGTTAATGCTCAACCACACTGGCCAGATTTGCCCACTCTTTAAACTCCTCTCACCCTCAATGTCAACTTCAGTGACATGGTCACTGTTATTAAATTCATGTTCAACAGATTTGTAATATGGGAAGTCATGACCTTTGGGATATTTGAGATGTGTGTTTGGGTTTCAGATCTATCATTTGGAATCATTTTGACTATGTCCATTTTTCGTAAGGTCCTTAAGCATTCAATTACTCATTTGAATGGTGAATAATATTATTGCTACCTCACAGGTTGGTCTTAGAGAATAAGTGAGATAATAGAGGTAAGATACAAGGCAGAGTGTCTGAGATACAGTCAGTACCAGTTGTGACTAATGTGATCACCACTATATACTGTTCTTGTGTGTGTGAGTGTGTGTGTGTGTGTGTGTGTGTGTGTGTGTGTGTGCGCGCGCACGAGCACATGTGGGAAAGAGAGAGAGAGAGAGGGGGGGGAGGTCAGTGGAAGAACTTGCTAGCAAAAATGTGTCTAGGTGCATGATGGGATGATCAACATTGTTAAAGAGAAGCTGGATTTTCAAAAGAAAGATTGGTGATCTTTTAGTGTATTACTATGTGTTTTCTTTCTCTTTTGCTTTTTTTTGTATAATAATGTCAGGAAAGATCAATTGGAATAAATCAAAAATTTTAACAGAGCATGGGATACCCATCACCTGTGTCAATGAAACAGATAAAAACTGAGTGGATGTTCTTCTCTCAGTATATTGCCTAGAGGCAAAGTTGACTTGATAAATCAAGAATTCATCATCTGTTTATTATTAGTGTTACATAAATTCACCTAAAGAAACTAAACTAAAAAACACACACCAAGATTTAGAAACACAAATCACATCAGAATTAAAAGTAAATATTATTTAGTCAGTTTAATAACCGAACAACTTTTGACAGTTTAGTTGTATCCACAATATATTTCTTGAAAATATGCAGACTTTCAAATGAAATGTTCTGTAATATTAATCTTGGAAGAAAGGAAATTTAATTATGCTGCTAAGTAAACATTGATTTTCAAGAAAACAAAAATAAATAGTTATATTGTAAAAAGTAATTAACCAAACCTATGTAGATAGCTCCATCTTTTGTAGATTGACAGAAATTAGAGATTTTTTGTGTTTTTATTTTATATGAGGTTGGAACTTGGTTGCAACAAATGTGAAATCCCTGAGTCTTTGCACTTTGTGTGTTCTTGTTCAGCCAGTTACATTAATGGGAATGTGGGGTTTATAAGGAAAGTCTTAATTAGTTTGTATGCATTATTATCTAAGTCTCACATATTAGTAGTCACACAGTAAAATATGAATAGTAAGGATGATGGTATAGATAGTGTTGTTGACCTATCCCAAAGTCTATGGAAGAAAGCTAGAATAATTCATTTAAAACATTTACTGAGTTTCTATTTCAGCTAAGAATGTATCTTCTGATTTATGTGTAAAATTGACAGGAAATGCTGTAATAAGCTCCCCTTATTCTTTATTGTATGTGTGTATGAATTTCATGTACTGGGCCTCTAGTTGTAAATAATGCTTCAATTAATACAGGAGTGCATACTAGATATCTTTTTTAAATTGATATCTTCATATGTTTCAACAAATACCCAGAACTAGAAGTGCAAGGTCATATAGTAGTTCTATTTTTAATTTCTTGAGATACTTTCATACTGTTTTTTATAGTGGCTGCATCAATTTACAATCCCACTGACAGTCAAGAAGGGTTCCCTTATTCCTGCATCCTCTCCAATATTGTTATTTATTTTCCTTTTCTTTTCTTTTCTTTTCTTTTCTTTTCTTTTCTTTTCTTTTCTTTTCTTTTCTTTTCTTTTCTTTTCTTTTCTTTTTTCTTCTCTTCTTTTCTTTTTGTTACTGGGGTGTCTGGCACTCATGACATTTGCCTTTTCCTCCTGGGAAGGCCCACACGAGTTCACTGGCTTGTTAACACCCAATGACAGTGCATTTCAAGGACAGGAATGGGTTTCACCTGCATGTTACCCTTTAATAGCCATAGTGTCTCAAGTTAAATACTTGTCTAGATGTGAATCTAGAGTTCAGGCCTTGGAGACTTCAATGAGATGTCAAACCCCCAGGTAGCAACCACAGGGCTGTTCTCAGAAGGAAGGCAGCAAGGACTGTTTCCACAGAATGGCTTGGGTGCTGTGCCCAGTACTCATTCCAGAGCCTTATCACTGATCCAATATTGTTATTTCTTGTCTTTTGGAAAATAATCATTCTAAGAAGTAAGATGCCATATTTTATTGGTGTTTTGATTGTCATTGTCTTAATAATTAGTGATGTGGAACTTCTTTTCATATTCTTGTTGGCTATAAGTTTTGGAAATTGTGTTTGTTTATATCCTCTGCCATTTTTTAACTGGGTGGTTTTGTTGTTTTGAGATAATTATTATCAGGAGCATGAGAGAAGTCATGTGAGGACAAGGCAAGGAGGCAAAGTAACAAGTATTTGCTGGATCATTTTCTAAAATTATGTTTCAGAAACAATGAGTGTGGAGCCTGATTTCCATCAATAGAGGTGGTAGGGCCACCCAAGCTTAAGTTAGATTGAGACTAAATATTGGAAATCATAGTCAGTCAATGGCTAGTACTTAAGCTTTTTTTCTGGATGCATTTTGTTTTCACTTCACCTGCCAATGTCAGATACAGCATTTTTCTCCTTACTGATTAACTAATTTTAGGAAACAATTGAAATATACCTTTAAAATATGTACAGTATAAAGTTTCTCTTCTACAAATTTCCCCAAATTTCTTATAAACAATGAATAACTATATATTTCAAATAAGTGAATAAGGTATTGAGGATCCCACCATCTTATTTGAACACAAAAGTTACTTGTAGAGTTTGTTTTTGCCTGGAATATATTTTGGGCAAAACAACCAATTACGAAGCAAACTTATTTTAATGGTGAATAGGTTTTTATAGCTTTTTGTCTAAGGTTCTAGCTCCAACTCTTATCATATAATTATGGTATTTCAGAAAATACGCCCAATATCAAATTTTTCTTCCCTCTATGAAATAAGCATCTTACTGTATATCTATAATATTACTTTCATATATAAAGACTGGAATTCAATATGTAGACTTGATTTGTATGTATCTACTTTATCAATTTGAAAATATTACAGAGTGTCTATGATTCAGCATGGATCAATCTTTTCTGAGAAAATATTAAGATTTTCATGACTGCTGAATGCTGCTGTCTAATTTCTCATCACAATTTTTACAGCCCCATACATATTGATGGGAAAGCATCAAAGTTCAATACCCCAAGAGTCACAATTCAATCAGTTCAAAAAAACCAGGAAGGAATTAAACTATGACAGCTAGACCATAAATGTCAGATTAATTCACTTTCACTTTAATATTGCAGGCATTAAGTATTTTAAGAAGTGATTTTTTTTATAGATTGAATGTATAAGACCTGGATAATGAAAACGCTTTTATAGAAAGGGGAACAATGATTCTCAGGCATGGACCAGTTCTGTGTTATCCACTATTGAAGTTTTATGAACTTTTCTTCTGAAATTCTTGTTATCATATGTAACTTACTTTATAAGTTCCATATTTGAAGCCTCAGATAGCTTTTTGCAAGAAATCTGAATATATACTTCCTTACAGGTTTTTCCCTGAGGAGTTGATAGATGGTTCTGGCAAGTGAGCTCATGAATTTAGAGCTGATGCTTGTCAATGTTATCACTTCACCCAGTTAATTGTGCTGCTCCTCCGGCTAAGAACTTCCCTGGCATCCTAAAACACTTATGACTTTGGTAGCAAAAGGAATTTAAGTGAGTCCTGAGAGCTGAGCACAACCCATGATGTTATTGACAAACAAGTAAGTATTCATGCATGTTGATCATAGGGAAGAATGTAATTTCCACATAAGAAAGGTAATATATTTTAAAAGCTGAATCAAGGTGCCCATAACTTAGGAAACTGCCCAACCTGTAATTTCTTGTCCACAATGAAAGTACAGAAGCTTCTGGGTGACTCCTAAAATGTTAGAAAAATCACAGAAAAGATCTATAACACATAACAATTGCTCAACCAGTAGAGGAATTAGAAAAAATGTACTTGAGAAAAATATTTGGTATCAGTCCGCTGTGTAAAAAAAACAAAACAAAAAGAGTACTTGTTTTCCTGCACACATTCTTATAATCTTATTAATAGCTACACTATGTCCGGTAAATCCAACAGAAATTCATTTTAACAGAACTTGTAGTTTTAAAATAAGGCATTGTTTGATGACATGAAAGAAAAAATATATTAATAGCCATGTTTTAGAATTTAAGAAGTGTTTTTCATCACAATTTTACATTGGGAAGAGAACTATAGGATCGGGAACTGGTAGTAGGTAGATTGCCCCTATGTTTTTGTTTTTTTTTCACTATGGGGGAAATAATAATTAAATCCTTTTAGTAGGTCCCTATGTCTGTAATCAGCTTTTTTTTTTTTTTTCTTTCCTCAGTATCAGAATTCTTTGAGAACTCATTATGTTCAGGGTAATGCCTTCCCAAGGATACTTTTAAGGGAAGAGAAAAGGCATCACCCAATTCCAACATCATGACAGTCCACCATGAACCATCAGAGCTGCGATATATCTGCGAGATTTCCAGTCAGTGAGTGTGTGATGCTGTGCACATCGAACAGGCAGCACCCCTAGAGAGCCCTGGTCAGAGTACTCTAGATGCTGAAGGCCCATTGGCCATACCCAGTTGCGAAAGCAGGGACGCAGTGATTGTCCTGTATACACTGCATGAGTGTGTCTGTCTGTATTCCAATTATTGCTGTCACCATTTGGCAAGAAGCCCCTTTTGTCTAAGCTGGGATAAAGATATGTTACTGACCAGCAGAGGCAAGGCTGCTTTTAGGTAGGGTGTGGCTGCTTGGTATGGCTCCTATGTTTACTACTGTATTACAAGGGCTGCTTTGTGTGGCTACTATTGGGTGAAGCTATTTTGAAGAACTGTTTTATCCAAAGGCGCCTTGTTAGCTATGGCTGCTAGGTCTCCAATAAAGACTCTCCTATACGCCTGTGTCTTCTCAAGTCTTCTCAGTCTGATACCCGGTGTCCATGAAGATCCAGTTCCTGGTAGAGGACCTGTGGACCCCACAGTTGAGTAGGATTCAGGAGTAAGCACTCCCCAAAGCCCTCAGGCAATTTGCAATAAATCAGTTTAATTGTCAATATTAGAAAACAAAAAGTGCCAAACAAAAAAGTAAACGAAAGCTTTAACTTAGTGTGTCCTCTATGCCCAGCCTAAAGAACTGAGCTGTTACAGCTGTCATGGCATCCCCAAGGGACTCCTGGGAGCAGGGACCATGTTCTACCCTCTGCTCTCAACTCTTTCCCCACAACATTGTCTGGCAGAGCAGGCAGTGGTTGAAAGATGCTGATCAAGCAAATGGTAGAAAGAAGTAATTAATAAATAACTGAATAAATGATGCTATAATAGTTATCCATGAGGAACCATAAAAGTGCTTATCAGTTCATGTTATCAACATAGTATTAATTTTTATGTAGATAAATATATAAATTTTAAATATTTATCAATATAAAATATAGAACATATTAATAATTAGAATGGATTTTAAAGAAAAAAGACAAGCTAAGTAAAAAAGCCTTTAAGTAATTTTACAGCAGATATTGCTAGAATAAGAATCTGAGATTCAGACTGAAAGAAGATACTTGCAAAAATATTTAAATAAAAAATGTAGTATCTTATCCAGTATATTTCTACATGAGAGATACTATATGTATATGAAAAGTCATATTTTCTTTTTTCACTTAAACAGAGCAAAAATTGGAAATCTTTCAAAAAATAGTTGAACAGGGAATGAACAGTAAATGAAAATAATAGTCACAATTTGAATAGCATCTAGTTATGTATAAAAACACACACGTTAAAAATAGTACTTGTATCAATAAAAACTGGTATATAAATATAAATCACTAGGAATTCATTTACTCGTGCCATCATATTTTAAAACATATTTTAATTTGTTTTTGAGAGAGAGAGAGAGGGAAGGGTACAGAGAGAGAAACATTGATTTGTTGTTCCACTTATTTAGGCATTCATTGGTTCAGTCTTTTATGTGCCCTGACCCGGGGTCAAACCTGCAACCATGGTGTATGGGGACAATGCTCTAGCCAACTGAGCTACCAGGCCAAGGCTTACCATATTACTTTTCAGGTAGAATAATAAAGGCAATAGCATTCACAAGATGGCATACAGAAAAAAAAATGGTTGAAATAGCTTCTTCTGAAATGTCAGGCTTCTATTTTTTTTAAAATATATTTTATTGATATTTCACAGAGAGGAGGAAGAGAGAGAGATAGAGAGCCAGAAACGTCGATGAGAGAGAAAAATCGACCAACTGCCTCTTGCACACCCCCTACCGGGGATGTGGCCTCAACCAATGTACATGCCCTTGACCAGAATCAAACCTGGGACCTTTCAGTCCGCAGACCAACGCTCTACCACTGAGCCAAACCGGCTTCGGCTGAAATGTGAGGCTTCTATTGACAAAGAATAGCTTTGGTAACTTTTTACTTTTGATTCTCCAAGACTTTTTCACAAATTATATATATATAACAATTTATTAATTGCTAAGAAAAATAGGTAAAAACAGATAAAGTAAATGAATCAGAAATTCTTATGAAGAACATATAACCAACTAATAAAATAAGGATATATTTTAATTAAAATTATTGGAGCCCTAGCTGGTTTAGATCTGTGGATAGAGCATCAGCCTGGGGACTGAAGGGTCCCAGATTTGATTCCAGTCAAGGTCACATGCCCAGTTATGGGCTCAATCCTTAGTAAGGAGTATGCAAGAGGCATGGGATCAATGATTCTCTCTCATCATTGATATTTATATATCTCTCTCTCTTCCTCTCTGAAATAAATAAAATATATTTTAAAAATTACTAGATAAATTATTGAAATGCAAATCAAAAGATACAACATTCTACTTCATTGGCAAAAGTCTTACTATATAAATCCTTGACCTATTTCCATTACATAAGAATTTGGTGGTGACTAAGTGTGTTGCATTAATGGGAAATCACATGCACTGCAGCAAGTGGGAAATCACATGCATGTAAGAGGTAGATAATTGCATTTATGATCTCCGATGACAGAGCCAAGGCTGGAGATGCTCCTTCAGTGAGGCCCTGTCT